ATGTTATTTTTTTTATTTATGATAATAATAAAATTATTTTATTTCTTTAGAAAATATACTAGATTTTGTAAAGTTACACTCATATATATTATATAATAAATTAGTGAATTGTGTATTCATATACATATTAACTAATACAAATATATCATTATAGAAACCCCTATAAGCATATGTGGTCGAATATAATTTTTATATTATAAATCAATTTATGAATATATATATAATATATGATGTATAAAATAAAATAATATAAATGTAATTTTTTTAGTTTTATTTTTATATAAGTATTTAAGATATCTAATTAAAATATAAACAATAAATAAAAATAAGCTTTAAATTTTTGTTATTTGAAATTTATTTTTCAAAATAATTTTATTTAATATAATTTAATCATGATTTATAATATACATTATATATTTATTTTTTTATTAGTATTTTGTTAATTTGATTTTTTTTTAAATTAATTCCTTCAAATATAAGAATGAGAAAACCTTGCATGATCTATAAATTAGCTAATCTCATGGAAATAGATTTTACAATTCTCATTGGAATGTTCATTCTTTTCATAAATATATATTAATCATTTGATAAAAAATGAGCAAAAAAATAAAATTTCCATTCTCAGATCATTCCTTCTCAGATCATTCCCTCATCCCAAAAGTATCGGTATTGTCCTTTTGCAATTAGTATGTTTATCCAATTCCAACAAATGTTCACCTTCCGTAATAATTTTTCAACTCACTAAACATAGATCGATCGATACATAATGATGTTAAATGTTAAAAGTAATCAATGGAGTTTCATGTAAAGCATGTAGAAAGCCACTTTGTTTGCTCCCAAATAGAATAGTAGTACTTCATTCAGCTCACAACAGAACACCAAACATTCATTCAGACAACACACCCCAGCAGCAAACCAAGACATCAGAAAACTAAAACGCTCACGACAAATCTCTCTCTCGCATCACATTTTCTAACCAACCCAATTCCATCCTCACTGTTGGGCACACTGTACCCGCTGGGCCCCACCACCATGCCCATCTTCGTCATCCTCGTCATAAGCTTCCTGGCGCTGGGCCTGCTTCCTCCTCATCTCCTCCTCTATGTTCACATCGTGCAATGTTGTCTCCTCACACTCGTCCAACTCCATGTCCGTCACCTTTGACTGAGGCCTTACCGGAAGAATCTTGGCCAACCCATCCACTTGCTCGGGACTCAGAGACTCCGGGAACTCAATGTTAAAGTGTATGTACAGCTTGCCCTTCATGAATGGCCTCCCGTACATGGGCATTCCCTCGTCATTTATGGCCTTGAATGAATCTGCCATATTAAACATTAGACTGACATTTAGTGACCTTGTACACAAAGTGTAGTGATTTTGTAGTGTGTAACTACCTACTATGAATTACCCTTGAATGTGTGAGACCTAATAATTGACATACAACCTGTTTGACTACTTTTAAGTTTGTGGCAGAAGCCAAAAAAAAGGTAATTCCCCCTATATAAATTGTACACAAGAAATCCTAGACGTCATTTGTTGAGAAGTAGAAAGTAGAAACCTTAAATGTCATTTGAAGTATCTTATATGGGAATTATGTATTTTTCTACAGATGATAGTGATTCATGTAATTAGATGGAACCCTTGAGGCTTGGGTTTATAGTAATTCATAAGATTAGTCTCAGAAATACTAACCAGGCTTCACAACTTCTCCAGGCTGAGATTTGATGAGGAGCTGTCGTCCATCCAGATGGGACAGAATGAACTGGAACCCACATAAGGCCTCAGTTAAGGACAGGGAATGCTCGATAAATAGGTCATCACCCTTCCTCTTAAATCTAGGATGATCTTTCTGCTGTAGCACAAAGACTATGTCCCCGGTAACTGTATCAGGCTGCAATAGAACAACAATGAACAAAAGACCACAATTTCACTATCACAGACTCAGCAAAAAAAAGACACTTCAATTACTAACAAAAAAATTGAATAAGACTCTGCCAATCTTACCGCCTCGTCAGCTTCCCCAGGGAATGTTATTTTTTGTCCATTCTGCATGCCCTTCTCAACATGGACTTCCAACACTTTTTTTTCCTGAACAACCTTTTCGCCCTTGCATTGAGGGCATCGGTCCTTATCGTTGATTGTCTCACCTGTTCCTTTACACTCATTGCAAGCATGCTGCATCTGCTGAATCATCCCTGGACCGAGCTGCCTGATAGTGACCTTCATACCAGTCCCCTGGCAACCTGAGCACTTCATAGATGCCCCGGATTTCGACCCTTTGCTGCAAACCATATACATGACAAACGATTTGTTAAAATGAGAAGTACAGAATATATTCCAAGAGTCGGCCCCCATTTTTTTTTTTAAAAAAAAAAAGCATGTACCAAATAGAGAAAAATCAATAAAACAGTAGGAAAATTTAAAACTAAACAAATAGCAATAAACTACAAAACTCATCACCCATGAAACTCTTAAGGGAAAAATATGGGGAACACAATAAAAAACAAAAGAAACAGTAAAAACAACATTCTTTCTGGGAGTAAGATAGTAGCTAACACAAGTTTTGAATGATTGAAACTAATAAAAGAGGAAGATACAGGAACCCATAAAATAGACGAACAAATTTGCAATCACCTGATGAAAATTTTCAGGAACAAGGCAAAAACTTACCCACTGCACTTGCTGCAAATCACATTACGCGAAAGCGAGAGCTTTTTGGTTGTCCCAAGATACAAATCCTCAAGAGAGACCTTCAACGGGTGTACAACATCCTCTCCCCTTCTTTGTCTTCGCCCCCTACTGCTGCCACCACCTGCTCATCAACACAAAGATATCCGAGTTGAGTAATATGTTCAAATGATCATGTGTAGATACAGAACTACAGCAAATACTGTCAAGAATATTATAAATGTGGGTTCAAGTGCCTCACCACCAAATGGGCTGCCGCCAAAGAAAGATGAGAATATGTCAAAAGGGTCGTGCATGCCGCCGCCACCCCCGCCCATTCCTTCCTTGAGGGCATCCTCCCCATACTGGTCATAGATTTCTCGCTTTTCAGGATCACTCAAAACCTCATAAGCATGAGCAAGTTCCTTGAACTGCAGCTCAAAACAAGGTATAAGTTACTAATCAATCAATCAAGACCCCACCAGAAGACAAAATGGTAGTCTAACGCCCAACGTCCAACATACCAATGACACTAATCTTAGCTTAGCGCGTGCAGTGGCATTTAACATGATCACATAGTTATAGATATTGAAAATGGATTGACTGTCCTATATCAACATAGTAAAGAAAATTGCAAGACTCTAAAGTAGACATAACTTGTAGTTTTAACAGGCCCAAGCAGGATACATGAAAATGAAACCATAACATTCAAATTAACTATACCATATAACAAGTAAGCTTGCTCTATTGTCTATACCCAAAAATAAAAATCATATCCAAAACAGTTATGATTTATCCAAATTACTAAAAACTAAGTTCATGAATCAGCCCAGCATTACGCATATCACAATCATACCACAAGACAACAAGATCTAGTTCTTCAGAATCCCAAAAAACTTAACATTGGAAATACATACATGATCTGTCACAATAACCATAATTAATGGTCTTCTCAATTTTGAATGAAAATAATTTCGTTCCATGATGCCAAATCCTTAATGGAGTCAAACCATAATTTAAGCTACAAACCTTCAATTTGAACAATAAAAACCTTAACCATTATATTCCTTTTCATCGCTATCCTGAATTTCAATCCAACAAGTCACGGCTAGAGGTTTCACATACTACACTTCCTCCCACGCGTCAATTATTAGTCCAATCATATTAAAATATCAGAAAAACATACCAACCAAAGCTACAGTTCACGATTACGAACCAAACAAACATTGCATTATCAAATGTCAACAACGCACCACAACAAACGCTAATCATACTTCATAGCCACCCTGGTCCGGATCAATCAGAATCAGGAAAACCCTAAAAACAATAAAAGAAAAACATAGGCGAAACAAGAATCGATCTATACCTTCTCAGGGTCTCCGCCCTTATCCGGATGATTCTTGATAGCCGCTTTCTTGTATGCCTTCTTCAGATCATCCGGTGACGCCGTCTTAGGGACCCCGAGAATCTCATAGTACTTGGTGTTGTCACTTTTCTTCGGTGCCCTCCCAAACATCTTCGATCGGTCACTTCCAAAATCAAGACCGCCTTAATTCGGATTGAGAAAAGTCGAACTCAACTCAACGGACAGATTGCCGATTTCCTGATAGCAGAGAGGTGAATAAACAGAAAAAGGCAGCTTCTAATTGAGGGTGAAGGGAATTTATATATGGGCACCAGAGGAAGTTTCGACGGTGGAGATTGAGTGGGGATGCGATCGTGGCCGTAGGATGGGCATGAGGTTCTTACGGTGATATTGGATGGTGGAAGGATCTGGAACTCTCCACCTTTTTCTGTCCTTTTCCTTTTCTTTTTTTCCCATTATAACTGACTTTTCTTTCTCATTGCATAAATAAGCAAACATATATATATACAATAGTAGATGGTATATCAAGAAGCCCATGGGCCATGAAGCAGCCCATTTTGGTGTAGGCCTTCTTGGATCTACTTAGATAGGCCGTATGCTTGGCTACACATATTAAATAAGGATTCCGCACGACTTTTTTAAAATATTTGTTTACATGACTCGGTATTAAGGGCAATTTGCATTTACACCACACGATTTTAAAAAAATTATAAAAATACGAGAAGTCAAATTTTAATCCACCTTCCTACAATCACTCAACCTTCCTACGAGATGTCAAAAACTTCCGTTACGTTTTTAATCCACCTTCCTACCAGAGCCGACCCATGCCCAAGGTAGCCTGGGCTACGGCCCAGGGCCAAAATAAATAAATTGGCACCACCAGTTATATATATATATAGGTCACGCTCCGGTGAGAATGGTACTGAGTGAAAGAAACAAGAATGAATAGTAGTCATTAGATCGGATGATCTCATGGTTAAAAAAAAAAAGTCAAAATTACACCCTCATTAAGGGTAATGTTATAATTTTTTACACAACACCCNTCTCAACTCATTCTTCTCACCGTCGCCGGACAAACATGGCCGCTACTCATTTCTAAATGTTCCACTCTCTCTCTCTCTCACACACACCCACACACACTAAATCGACAAACACACACACGCACATATTCACGGCTCGCCACCGCCCGTCCGCCGTCCCTCGCCTCCCGCCACCTTCAGGCCGCCCATCCCCGCAGTCTCCCGCCTCCCGTCACCTTCCGGCCGCCCATCTTTGTCGTCTTCCGCATCCCTCGACCTTCAGACCTCCCGTCTCCGTCACTAACACACACACACACAGATCAACACACAGACACATACCTTGATCAGCACTCTCACGTCCGGCCACCCCACGCAAGATGCTGCAACCACCGATCCGCTCACAGCCGTCATCGCCCCAGCCGTCGCGACGCGACCCGCAACTTCCGCCGGTGTCGGGCTAAGAAATGTTCACGTCCACTGAGCTCCTAGCCATTTATGGATTTGGAATCAACGAAACAGGACTGCCGTAGGGGTGCCGCCGAGTTCGACAATGCCACTTTCATCTTCCCCCCTGTGAGGCGGCGGCGACGCCGCACTATTGACGGATATGGGAGACAAGATGGAGAATATAATTGTGGGGTTTTTTTTGTGTAAATTAGATGAATAATATGGACCTATATGCAATTTTATAAGTTCTTGTATATTGCATAATAAGACCTGGGTGATTTTGCAATTTACCAAAAGATAATGAATTGCTAATAATGTATATTAAATGCATATTATTGGGTGAAGAAATGCACATTGGAAATAACAATATATTAAATATTAAATAAAAATATATTAAATATTATATGAAATGCACATAGGGTGTAGAATTGCACATTAAAAAATACCAATATTTTTACATTCAATATATTTTTCAATTTAGTAAATTGAGAAAATGTGTAGTTTATATAAATTTACATTCAATATATTTTTCAATTTCGTAAATTGAGCAAATATGTAATTTATAGAAATTTACATTCAATATATTTTTTCAACAAATAGTAATATATAATATTATACAAAATAATAAATACCTACATCTTATTATAGATAAATATATAATTGCAAAAATAATGTTAATTAAACTCATTATTGAAATTTCTAAAATTGAAATTCACAAAAAAAAAATGTAATATAAAAATGTATTTTGTAGTGCACAATTATGGTTCAATATTTTATATATTGTGTGTCTTTTAAACCAAAATGTAATATAAAAATGTTAAATAATAATATTAAAACAATGAATATATTTTTATATCATAAATAATAAATCATCTATATTATTAGATTAATTCGGTCGATCGATCAAATAAACTGTTTATTTCAGATCGGTCTAGTTTGGTATGAATCAAATCACTAAATATGTCTGCTTTGAAAGTGCATAATAGTGATAGACGAATTGCACATTAATGACTATCAGACTGCACATTAAAGACTTAAACCTTCAAACCTCAAATTCTTGGTTAGAAATTTTATATTACATTTACATTATATATTTTTTACTCTTAAATCACGGTTATTTCAGTTCAATCTCGCCTTTATTTTTAAAAATAACCGAAATGGCCAAACCGATCGAATAATAATAAAAATAGTATTATTATTATTTTATTATTTTTAACTATATTACTAATTAGCCCATCTATTTGTAATTTACAGAAAATGTATAAAAACATATTATTTTTTATATATTTTTTATACATATATAATTTATGTATTTAAATAAAAAATAATATAAAATATTAAATAAAAATATTAAAATATAAAATATTAAATAAAAATATTAAAATATAAAATATATTTTGATAATATAAATAATAAATTAATTTTAACCAATCAAATAACCAAATTATCTCAGTTCAAATGCACAATAACGGTTTTCACAGATATTAAAAATTCTGTTAGTTTGGTTTATTGGTTGGATTTATTTAAAAATATATTTATATAAAAAAAAGGAATTACGAGAATCGACAAAACTATATAAAAATATTTTTCTTCAAATTTTATTTAGATACGTGTATTATTTATTTTCAACAAATAATGGTATAAAATAATAAATAAAAAAATATATTTATATTTATTATATAAATATTACTATAAATGCAAAATAATGTTGATTAAATACGCACTATTAACGGTTTCTAAAATTGAGAAAAAATGCACATAAAATAATCAATCACTATACTGCACAATAATGCTAAACAGAATGCACACCAATATTAGATGGGTTGCACATTAGTGAGCGTAAGATTGCACATTATCGGACCGAAATATAAAGTTTCAAAGCGAACTATATAAGTTATTATTATTATTATTATTATTATTATTATTATTATTATTATTATTATTATTATTATTATTATTATTATCATCATCATCATCATCATTATTATTATTAATACATTTTTATGTGTTGGAAATGCACAATATTGATAGACATATTGCACACAAATGAATATTAGATAGCACATTAGCGATCGAAACCGTCCAAACTAAAATATACGAAACGAAATTTTATATTCGTGTCGATAATCTAATTTTTATTTCAATTTCAGAATACGAACTACAATATGTATGATAATGCAATTCGATAATTTTGGTTAAATTGTTTAACTGACCAGCTAAATTAGACATTTATGTTTTGGTTTTAATTTTGATTGTGATAAAAGAAAGTCGGTTCAATTAATGTCGGTTGGAGTGCATATTAACGACCAAAATCATGCACTATATTGTTAGATAAAATGCACATTAATGCCTCACAAATTGCACACCGTAGCAATCAAAACTGCCCGAAATCAATTTTTTGGTTCGAAACTTTATATATCGGGTTGATTGTCATTTTATATTTTAAACTTTTGGTTATTACATATCCATGTCGACTTTTTTTTTTTACATTTTTTATCAATATTTTATATTTATTAAAATTTTAAATTTACTATAAAATAATTAGGCTGTTAATTTATTTATATTACATTTTTCTTAAATGACGATAAAATAATGGTTCATCCCCAAATTGAACTCATCCCTAAAATTGAAAATCACGCGCAGCTAAAAAAGGAGAAATCTGGCCATCGTCTCCCTTCTCTCTTCATATCGCCGCCGGCATTTACCTCAGCTGACGGCTGGAATCGAGTGTTCATTTAGCAGAGGTGTTCAATCCCGCCGGCGGACCGTGTCAGCCTTGGACGTCTGAAATTGATGGCAAGACATGGAGAGGAGATGGAGGCACGGACGACGGCGATGGTGTCTGCAGCAGAGGCGAAGCGGCGAGATATCGGTGGCGATAATTGCAGACGGTGGTTGTGCGGCGGCGATGTGGTGGTGCAGCTGCGGGTGTGTTCCTGTGGCAGGGCTCGACGGCGGGGCCAGTGGTGTTTCGAGTTGGTGGCGGGATTGGTGGTGGATGGACTGGTGGTGGTCGGAGTGGCTAGGTGACGGTGGTTGATGATTACGGACGGTTGCTGAGCACGGCGACCGGTCTGTTCACGGTTGTGGCAGGGCTGTTGGGGGTTGGTGTCGATGGCTGGGTTGGTGGTGTTTCGAGTCCAGTGGCGGGGCTGGTGGTGGTTTGGGGCTAGATTGGTGGTGGTTGTGGGCGGAGCTGGTGGTTGTTGTTGGTGACGGGGATGGTGGTGGTTGGTGGTGGAGCTACTGGTGGTTGGTTGAGGTGGTGACAGAACCAGCCGGTGTGTTGACGGCGGTGGTCGGAAGTCAATGGCCGGAGGTGGTGGAGGTGGAGGTGTCGAGGTGGTGCATCGGAGAAGACCACCGCCTGGTTGTGTGTGTTGCTGCATGAGGTGTGTGTGAGTATGTGAGAGAGATAGGGTAGGTGGTGTGGGCCCCACTAGGTTAGATGGTAAAAATGAATTGACTAATGTACCCTTACTTAGTAGTCAAATAGATATATTTGACCACAATATGACCATTTAATTACGGAATTGCCACACTTGTTTGACTATCATTAATAAAATTTGATTTAATCATGGTCATTGATATTATAAATTGAATGGTTCAGATTTATTCTTATTTCTTTCACTATCTACCATTCTCATATGATCCTAACTCTACATGCATATATATACATATATATATACGTATATATATATATATATTTGCATGGGTTCGATCCAATAACCATATAAATGAGTCGAATAACGCGAATGAATTGAGGTCGGCTCCAATTCTGTCAGTGTGGGTAATAAGCTCGGCCTTAGACTTCGATGAGTGAATTCGGTGGCAGCGGGAGCGGCCAGACCGCGACTGGATGATGGCGTAACAATTTGGTCCGGCTATGAAATTCCCAGCAGGTATGTTCGTTACGAGCAGGGTGATTTTATGGGGTCACTTCTTGGGCTAGTTAAAGCTATTCAAACCCATCTTTTTCATTTTG